TTCTCGGAACCTTGAATGTAAAGCGAATAGATAAGAATGCCCTGAAGACAAGAAATCTTTCGTAATGCTTAGAACACTGTAAATTATGTACTAGTGCTACCTATAAAAGCGTGATGTTATTATTATTATTATTATATTTAGCACGATGACTACCTGAACTAATAGTTGAATGCTCAGGATTAATCTACGCCTCCTATTATTTCTTAAATTCACATTTTTTATTCACTTTCAAACACTAGTGTTTCAGCATTTAGACATAAGTTACTTTAAAGTGACTAGCTGTCATTAAAACTTTGAATACTGCACCGTCGGATAACAAAAACAATACATTCAAAATTCCTCACACGCGCTCATTGCCTACAATTTCTGTTTTAAGCATCACTATAGCTTTCTTTTTCGGTTTGCATCTGAAATAAGCAGTTTTGTATTGACGTTTACTGCCATGTAACAGTTTTTGTAATGTTGTTCACATAATATGTTGAATTCTGGCCACTGTCGAAGGGTTTGGTGGCTTGATATATAATCTCACGTCTGTTGCACTTTACAAGTCTGTATAATCACTTTTATAATCAGTCAGTCACCTCTTGTTGCTGGCCACAGTCTTTTTAGAATTGCAGAAATATCCATTTTCAGTTTTTAACGTTGATAGACTGCGATATCATATATACTAGAACAGCAAAAAATATTTTTCAGACACTCTTACTAAGTGGGCATCCACTATCTTACCGCTTTGAAAGTCAGAAAGATTCCTGCTCTTACTTATTTTCATTCAGACTAACCATGATTTAGCTACATCTCTGCTTTTACAAAGCTCAAGCAATCACTTGGCGGTTCATCTGGTTACTTTATTTGCATATAGAAATAGAGTTGGTCTTCAGTAACGGTGTGTACGTGTGTGTGTATGTATGTGTGTGTGAAGTACTAATAAAGCAACGAGTCGCTGATGTTGTTGAACACATGTTTAAAGCAAATACCGGAATTTATTCTATTGGAAACCTCTTTCAATACTTCTGCATTTGTTTAGCATTGTCATGTGTAACGAATTTATTATTATGTATTTATTTTTAATATGAACGTTGTCTGGATTGAATTTGTATTTAGAAATATGCGTGACTTGTATTATCAGATATGTGTTGCGTATAACGAATTTGTCATATATTTATTTTAATATCAACGTTTGTTTCGAATAAGTTTATATTTGAGGGCGTGTCTAGCTTACCGTGTTAGTTACGTATGGCAAAACTCCCGCCAATTCTCCAAGATTATAGAATATTCGTGAACACAAGAATCAACAATATATCCATTTCCGTATCCGGTATTATTAGAAGGTTCTAGAATATATGTCTTGCATATAAAAACAGCAAGGCATCGCGCCAAAAACAACAGACAAGAGAGAACAGAGAAGAGACAAGTCTATTATGAAACTGTTATAACCGTGTAAGCTATAATCTGTGATTTTGCTAAACCCTATCAACCGGAAAATATACGATATTTGACGAGGAACAGTTATAAATTTCGAACGTCAGTGAATTCCCATCAAATGTTAATATCTCTCCAAGAGTATTACTAATTTCTCATTTCGGACATTAGTGATTTTGTGGAAATGTTATCTTACCTCCCGCCGATTATATGTACGTACAGTTCGCTGGATATCTAGGAGACTCTGAACTAGGAAGGCGGTTTTAGGCTATTTGTAAGTTAATAAAATTTCTGTTTATGAAACTTGGCTTGTAGTAATTAATCATAATAGTTGCCATTGCAAATTATAGTGTTGTATATATATATTAAAGCTTATTCGTGTCAAAACAAAAACGGTGTGAATCAATCTGGTTGGCAAATAGCGTAAATTAAATAAAATATCGGCATATTTCTAAACACTAAATCCAAGGTACGTCTCAAGTATTAAACGTTAAATTATTTAATGGGGCTTTGGATTATTTCAAATTATCATTACGTAACACGTGAATATTAGTTTAATGTTTTCATTCAGCTAATATTCATGACCACAAATGTTTGTTTGTTTCTTTGTATTAAAGCTAAGTCACATCAGGCTATTTGCTGTGTTCACTGCAAGGAATCGAACCCCAGATTTTAGTGTTGTAAGTCCGTAAACATACCGCTGTCCCACCGGGAGACATTATGAGCAAATGTCAGTTATCCTTTCTCTACATATATCACAACCAAAAAATAAAATTCATAACAAAACTATTCAAAATGAAAAAATGATAAATATATAGAATTATAAGTCACTGCGTTGTTGTATGAGAAAGTAACTCTACACTTTTAAAGAAGAGTATCCCAGGAGATTGTACTTGGAGAGTTTTAATTTAAAGAGCACGTTTGCGCTACTTGGTCCATTTCTGTCACATTACATATGTATTACGTATCTTTAATGTCGCATTACCAGAGCTTTTCATTGTTCTCAGTTGAGCTTTACACATAGTTTTTGCAATTATGGGATGTATGATAAAGAAAAGGATTAGTCTAGTTCCCAGATTCCTGAGAATGTAGGCTAGGCTATTCGATTAGACTGAAAATTAATGTTTTTTTCTCACGTATCATGCAGATGAAACAAGCAGTAGAAAGGGGCGAAGGTGGAGAAAAAATGTGTGTTTGTTTGTGTGTATGAAGGGGATGCTCAGATAACTCGTCGGCAATGTAGATGTAAACTAGTATTACTCCTACTTCACCCACATGGGCCCGGCATGGCCAAGTCGTTAGGGCGCTTGACTCGCAATCTGCGGGCGGCGGATTCAAATCCCCCTCTCACTAAACATGCTCGCTCTTTCA